CTGCAGCGTTGAATGCTTGGAAAACGATGGTGTCTCTGTGCTGCACCGTCGAATGCTTTGGCTCCTTGTTCTTTGGCTCTTAATCCCCATGAGGGTTCATTGGAAAGAAGGAAAGGTTCTATCGACTGAATTCAATGTACATCTTCAATGTAATTTTTATTGTGCATTTTCACATTTTCTCAAAGCGTTTTACATTATCCCTGCCCACAGCCCCCAGTGAGCAAGCCAGAGGCAACAATAGCATAGAAAACCTCTCTAGAAGGAAGAAACCTTGGAAGGTACCAGACTCAAAGGGGGAGCCCATCCTCCACGGGCCGGCAAAGGAAGTCAAATAAACAAGAGAGCCCCAATTCATACTGTACAATTTAAATTTGAGTTTCAGGGCAGGGGGGAGGCAGGTGTTGGCAGGTAGGTGTGCTGCTTCTGATGGCAGGAGAGATGTTACAGGCAGAAGAACGAGTAGGCTGCAGGGTAGGCAGAACATAATAAGGAGGGAGAGGCAGGTGGGAACGTAGGCATGGGGGGTGGGACTCTAATTCCACTAGGGGGCGTGAAGCTAAAGTGACAGACTGATGGTTCAGTTCATCCAAAGCCAATGGCACCGATCCCCACCCAGCTCTACATCCCACACTGTAGCTCTTACTCTGATTTCTATTTCTGATAAGCAAATTAATTCACCTTCTGACATTTTCCTAATTTTATTTGCATTTTAAATGTAAACCCTGTTTAAAATGGGTAGCTGGAGAACCAAGTTACATGGGATAATTTAGTTAATATGTAGGTCTTGAAGGACTTGTCTGCATTGTCAGTGTTAAGCAGGTACCGTACGATGGCACAGTTGTGTAGATTTATTCATGCAGACTGTTTTGTTCAGGGCTCATGTTGAAACCCCCAGACAATTATTTTTCATCTAGAATTTCCTGGTTTTTTTTCTCCTCCATTTCCTCAGTGGCTGTTGTCATTTTACTGAAATAGCAAGGCCTTCAGAGTAAATTTGGGTGGCAGGTAATTTATACACCTGTTTTAAAATGCGCTCCATCCTGTTGTCATGGCACCCATAATAGCAGGTAGCGTTAGCGATCGCTAAGATCTTCTCGTCATTTGAAATCCCAGATACTGTACTCTGAATGTGGACCTGAGCCGCTAGTTGTGACTAGTTGTGTTTATGGGGCAATTTATTTCATATTGCATGGTACAGTGCAAAAGAATGAAAGTCTGCCGACTGACACTCAATTTTGATGCCATTTCAAAGGCACTTCACACTCAAGCAAGTGGGTTAAGTCTCAGATGCTTGCAAACTGATGTGATGATTGTCTGCTAATCACATTGAATAGTGCAGGCAGGCTGGATGAGAGCTGCTGTCTTTATGGTTCTCTCGACGCTGTGAGTAGGAGTCCTCTGGTTCTTCGCCGTCTGCTAGGATGTGGAACACCACCATAGCTAAAGCATGTCTACCTTCCATGTTGGCACAACATTCATGTATGTTTTATGTGCTGCACAATGCGGACTTGAAGCGTGAAAGTGATCGTGAAAAGTGCCTTGTTCAGCACGCACACGATCATGTTCCCGTGTGCGCACTGACTTCTGTCTCCGAGCTCCAGTTAACCCGCCCCCCCGGTGCAGGTGGCTGGTTACCGCTCTTGGCCGGAGTCCTGTTCAGGGTATTGTTGGCACTTGTGCCTTTGGGACGCATGACCTTGAATGACCCCATATCAGTTCAGCTGTGACTGGTGGCTGTGTAGCCCTGTTTTATCTCTAAAGCCCTTCCTTTGATGAGAAAAGAGCTGGTTCATTCTGGTTCCTTATTAATAAAAAAAAAAAATTCTAATTCTGAAGCAAAGATCAAAATGAAAACGCCATGGCCCAGTGAATATAGTAAATAGATAAAGGAATGTGATTTTGCTGATATTGTTCATTTACTGACGTAAACTGTAATGATGTTTTTCAGTCTGCCATTTTTAAATACTGTTACCTCTATGCAGAAATCGATAAATCACTTTTAAAATGTTCGGCAACCTTTATCTCATTATTGACAGCTGCCTTTGCGTGAGAGGGCGCAAACTCCAATCACACAGAGCAATGACACCCTCCAGAGGATGAAGCTGTCATGTCAGTCTGGTATGAAAATGACAAAATCAGGCCATAATTTGATCGTTATTTAACTTTTAAATACCAAGGAAAATGTCTGCATATAAATTAATATGCTAATAATCTAAAATAATAGAAAACCTATCAGACATTTTAAAGACTACTAACATTTTGCCAAGATGTGTATTTAAATTTTCCTTTAATTTATTTTAATTTATGGTCATCTCGGTATAAATAGATTCGAAACCATAGTGATCATCAAACAGAAGAGAACAAACAGCCCAGTTTTTGACCAAAGTACGCGTGCGCGCCTCCATTTTCAGGGATCCCTTATCCAGTCAGGACCATAATGACAGTCTCACATCCCTTATTCGGACAATTTTCCATTATGCCTGCAGAGTGAGATTTAAGATATAATGATAAATGCAGTATTTTGCATGTTGGCGATTTTCCGTCAGGGCAGAGTTTTCTTATCCCTTATCAATACAAATCCAAATACCTGCATGATGCCTTAATGGGATTAAGGGATTAAACGATCTGTTTACCGTGGTAAAACACGGGGGATAAACATCTTAACCAAGAGCATTCAGTGGCCCTCTCTTTGTCATACTACAACTTAATCCACTTTGCCATCCCAGATGCCCCCCCACCCGCTGTTATCCTTCGTTACAAAACAGCCCCAACGATTTGCCCGTGTGGCGATTTTTCCCACCGTCCATAGGCACCTACATCATTCAGACGTTAAGAAGTGCATTTATTACACGGAATAATGTGTGCCTCACAAATGACACAGGAATATATTTAGAATTCTCCAGCGTTGGGTTACCATGCCAACAGAGATAAGCGGCTCAGTTGTCGAGCTGCTTGGAGAAAGTTACATTATGAAATATGTATGCCAGGTGCTATGAGATTTGGCAGTGAATCGCTGAGAGGCTGACGATGATTACAAACAATGGAGCGCTTTGCAATATTTTTTTTATGCATCAATTTTTGTCTTCTGTTGCCACGGCATTTCTTTTGTGAAAAATCTATAACATCATGACTAAGCACAGAGAAACATGCATTTCCCCATCTATTATGTATAGGCACTCATGAGCGTGGAGGCTAGACCAGAAACTTGACGGAAAGAGGCAGACGACACCCCGTAAGACAGGAGTGAAGTGTAGCCAGCGTACACACGAGCTGATATTTAATGTTATACAGTCAAAGAATACAAGACCGTCTTATAAATATGCCGGAACACGTGACCTACTATAGGTGGGTTTCGAATATTTTATTTGGGAAAACGCAAGAATAAATGTCAACCTGTTTGCTGAAGAATTAAGATGATTTGCAATAAAGATATCAAGCAAAAGAAACTGTTTTTTTAAAGAATTTGCAAAAAAAAAGATTGATTTTGAAGTAATCACGTGGTCATTTAAAACAACCAAAACTTCATGATGTCTGCTTATATGTCAAAGTCAC